GTGGAAAGGGGCTTCCCCCACCCCCCCTATCCCCGGGACCGGGCGCCGAGCGCCGCCTCCCTTCGGAGTGGGGGAGCTGCGGCTCGTCCCCAGAAGTTGAGGGGAGTGCTGAGCCCCCCGCTGCGGCACCGTGCCAGGCAGTGCTCCCCCAGACCGACCAACTTTTCTGCTGACTCCTCAGAGCCCCCCCTCACCGTCACACGACGGGAATCGGGAATTCAGGGCACGTCTCCAAAAAAAAAAAAAAAATTGGTTAATATTGCCTGTGCGTTTTCAAGCGGTAGAGTGAATGATTGGGGCAGACGGCAAGTCTACTTGGCATGCTGATAACACTTCGGTTCACTGCAGTCAATAAACAAGATCCTGTAATTTCACTAGTGTAAAAAAGGGAAGATCTTGCTTTGACACAGTCTTTTTTTTAATCTCATCTATGCTAAGAGGGTGAAGAAAGTCCCCCTCCAATCCTGCGAGAAGATTGAGAGGCATCAAGTTGCTGTCTTGTGAGCCCTGTTTCTGTTTAACTTCCGCAACTCCAGGTGACTTCCATGGGACTGCTCGCTGACTTCAAGCAGTGCTTCAGGCAGGTAAGAGCTAAGCGTGTCGAACCTGTCTTTGCTGAGGTGCAGTAGGGTCCCCCAGTCCTGACTGGGAGCTGTAATGAAGCATAGTAATGCTTTTTCCTTTTTGAAGTGAGATGCCCTGCAGCTGTAGAGTGAAACTCTTGGGAAGTTCCAAACCCATCCTTTTCAGTGCTGGAGTGTCTTCTCTGTTCTCATTTAAGTAAGTGAAACTTTTCATGATGCTGTGTTGTCCTACTCACAAGTATGTAGGTTTACTGTGCGTTTATCTATGGTTAACACAAGCAGAGATTTTGTTTGTTTCTTCATAAAGAATAATTACTAGAACTGCAGCTTTAAATTAATCTACAAGTGGCTGAGGGTTGCTGTGTGGATTAAATTAATATGGTCTGAATGAAATTCAGTAGGATCTATGTTTGAGGAGCAGGACCAGATAAGAGGTTGTGTTTTGTACAGACTTTGTTCTCAGAAGCAGTGCAGGTGCTATGGACTGCTTTCAGTCCCCTAGTACAGTTCCTATGGAAAGATTTAATGGCATTAGCAATGAATATACACTTCTTCACTAAAATGAGTCTTGTTTACAACCATTGCTTCATTAAAAGAAGTTTTGTCTTTGGAAATATATTGAAGGGATAATGAGGAAATAGTGACTTTAATAGATTAAAATGGCCAAATCAAATGCAAACTTTTTTTTTTTGCCACGTTATTAATTTTGTATAACATGTTTTATGCTATAAAGTGCATTAATAACAAAACATAATTGCTATAACAACATTGTGGTCTGCTATGTAACAAGGGAGAGTGAAGTAGAAAAATGTTAAATATGTGCAACTTGGCTGGGTGGGAAGTTACTTTGGTGATGTTGATGTTCGGAATTTCCTGACTACTCTTGAAATTTGAAATTTTTAAGCTCTAGTTTTTTTAAAGGGGCTTTATTGTTTCAGGATTTGCAGTGGGTGAGTGAAGGATGCTCACTTTGTTTAAACAGCTCTCTCCTTTGAAAAGAAATACCTACATATTTCATACAAATATTTCATTATTTTGTTTTATGGAACTCTAACAAAATTCTCTTAACTCAATGTGCAAGGTTGGTAGGTAGTAATCTTCCATTATTGCCAGTGATAAAAGCTGTGCAGGCCAACTGCCTTCAGTTACACTTCGACACAACCTTCTTACACGTAGCTCTTCAGGTGAAGAAGTTACTGAGGTGTCAGTAGGACTGATGTACCGGTGAGCCTGGATGCTGGGTATCTCTCTCTTTTGCACCAGGTACTGAAATACTGTCTGTCATGGGGTGAGAGAAAAACTCATCACTGCCCTACCCTGCCTGTACTCAGTCCCTGTAGTGAGGCCTGCCAGATTGTTAACCATCCCCTACCCCCCACAGCCCCCCAGTAGATGCCTATTGACAGGAAAGGCTTATGGGAAGGTTGGGTTGGGTTTTTTTAAATGTTTTATTTCTACAAACTTTTTCAGCAGCACTGAGTTTGGTTATCTTGATCTGTTATGCACTTAATTCAAATTACTGTAAGGACTTTGACTTCACCCAACTGTAATACTTAGCATAACTTGCTGGAAAGAGAAAACAGCAAATACTGTTGGTTTTTTTTTTCTAGCAACCATTGGAATAAACCAGAATGAAGAGTAGCACTGCCTGATATGAGGAACTGTGCAAGCATTGTTAAGAGCTGGAGCTGTGCCTTGTGCTAGCTGTTGTGAAGCCAGAAAGTTGAGATGTGGACAGTGGAAAGGTGATCCTGGAGATCACCTACATGTCAAGTAGGACACAAACTAACAGATGAGAAGTGAGGGAGGAGGGGGAGCATTGAAGTGAGAAGATATCCTTGCCTCCTTCCACTGACAGAGCTGAATGTAGCCTGGGCCAGTGTCCAGCAGAACATTGCTCAGTGCAGAATTTTCTTGCTGTGGTAACTCCAGTGGAGGCAGCAGAAAAGGTACTGCTGCTTGGGGTAAGGAAGGAAGGGGGTAAGAAAAATATTGTGTGGGGTTTCAGTAGCTTTCTGTGTCTTTTCCTCATTTTACTTCCATTAATTCAGTTGTGTCTGAGGAGATGCTGAGTGGGTGGGAATTTGTGGTAACCCACAGTAATATGAATGCTTTGACCATTATAAAGAGAATCTGTTTTTTTTAATCAGTATTCTACTGGCTAACCACTCATCTTGATCATCTTTTTCTTTCAGGTGAAGGAAAAAAGGTGAAGGGGAATAGAAAAGAAGGGTTTCTAAATAGTTTGAGGCATTCTAATGTTTTGCTTTTTTATGTTTTTGATTTTGGAACTGGTGATGGTGAGGGTAGTCATGGCAAGGAAATCTTAAATTAGCCAAACATACTGTGACCAGATGCCATTGGTTTTAGGTGGTCTGGAATAGGAAGAAGCCAGGAATGGTACGTGAGAGCTGGAGGTGCTTCTCCTCAGCACAACAAGTGTATTTGCTTGCCAGGAGGAGAAAGGTGGACAACATACTAAAATGAGGAATCATACCAAAAGCAGGAGATGCACTCTTCACCATTTTTGGGTGGTTGTGCTGTTTCAATTGCTTGTGTTAGCCCTGTACAAAAATATGCCTCTTTGAACTGGACCCAAAATACAGTGGGAAAAATGCAAGGGTTTTATATTAGTGGAATAAGGATTCCTGAAACTCTCAAGTTTGACAATGGTCTTAAACAATTTGGCCTTAGAAGTGAATGATTATAAACTTCTCAAGTTTCTGAATTTTTGCTGCAAAGAGGTCTGTGTTGTCATCTAAGGCACATTGTGGTTTTGTCTGCCAGATTAACTGTTTCTCCATGAGGGATAAGAACAATACATAATAATCTCTCTCCAATACTCAGAAGACCTTGAAATTTTGGAGTGCATTCATCACTATGACATTTTCTGTGAAGTCTTGAGTTGTAATGGGATGGGACATTGGGGTACATGCTTCCTAGCGAGATGGGGGGAGGTTGGGCTAAAGAAAAAAATAAGTTCAGCATAGGTGAGAAGGGCACAGCAGTTTCTTAGGCTACATTAGTTTCACTGTAGCAAGCATCCTATCCAGCAGGATGGTCAAGCTATCACCCGGTGGAGCCATGTTGCCCAGGGCTTAGAGCAAAGAAAGATTTACAGCTTAACTAGGGGTGCTGAACCTCTGTCTGTATACAGCTTTTGGAAAGACTTAGGTTGAAAGGAATTGCTTGTTGCTCTGCCTTCACAGCCTCAAGAGAGCATTTATCTTGATTAAAGAATTTTTGCAGGTATTTCCTCTTTGCCAGGATGCTAGAGAGCATTATCCATGACCATTTCTTTTTAATATTAAAGGAGAAAATTTGTCAGTGTTGTGCGGCCATTTTTCAAATTCTGCTAGAAGACTCGTAGACAAGACTTTTTTTAATGTCGCTATCATTTTTTCATATGTGGGTTACAAATCACTATGTTAAATAAATTAAACTATTAAAGCTGAAAAGTCTTTAAAAATCTTATAAGGTAGCAGAATCACTTCAGATTTTGGATGCATTTGATGTGTTTAGAGTCTTAACCTCTGCTAAATTAGGTAGCCTTAATTAAAACTAATGTTACTCTTGTTTAAAACTAATCTTAAAACTTAGCCAACACAAAAACAAAGAGTACAGTTTCATAGAAATCAAATTTAAATACATTAAACTAATAGCAAGCGGCATGAAAGCTCTTGATACAAAGATAATTGTAGTGACTGATGGTGGAGTACATTGGCTTTAAGGTGTGTTTGGTAGTTTAAAAAAACCCCCAGAGTATTTTGATCTGCTGTTTCCTTTTAGAAACTTCTATCCACTCAAAACTGAAACTACCTGAGTAGAAAAACATCTATTTTCTTATTCACAAATTAAATTGCTTGGAAGCTCCTGATTTTTCTGTGAATCCTAAAGATTACACAGGGCTTGTAGATGGTGCTGCATGCAACTATGATGGTGTTTGGGCAAGGTCAGCTGTATGTCTCCATGATGGTGTTTGGGCATGGTCAGCTGTATATCCTATGCCATCATGTGTCATGGATGCATGCGATGGCTGGTATTGCTAAAGAAAAAAACATTGGCACTATTCCTTGGGCAAATCATTTGTGGGCTGTAGTTTGATTAAATCAGTGTTTCCTGACTCCTCCTTTGGCAGTAAGGTTCCCATTTCTTCTTTCTGGAATATTTTTTAGCTGGATGAGCTTTCTGGATGTTGCTGTGCAGGTGTGTGAACCCTCATGGTGGTGGCAAGAGCTGGGCGGTCAGGGATGATGAGAGCAAGTAGCTGAAGAGAGCAGCACTGCCAGCCTACATGTGTCAGAAATGTTCATCAAGATGTGGTGTGGAGTGCTTTGCTTTCAGCATCCACGTGGCCTGAGAAAGCTTTTCTTGCCCACTCAAGGACATCGGTTTTCAGAAAGGAGAGCTGAAAATGCGAGTGTGTTGTGTAGTCAGAGATGGAAACAAGTGACAATACCACGAAAGCAGGCTTATTTGGAAGCATGCCACTATTCACTGTGTGTTTCTGGATTGCCTACTTTTTTATTATAAGAGAAAGTTCTGAATCCCAAACAACTTTTCCAAAATAAACTGATTTCTGCTTTGTAGTACCTATAATTTAATTAATCTCTTTCCAAGATACTCGTTCAGACCTTCATGTCTTATATATTTGTTGGGGGGTTTTTCTAGTCCAGATGCTGTCAGTGTCCTGTTACATGAATAACACAGCTTTTGTCTGGGAGAAAACAGAAGAGGTTTGTATTCGTTGGTCCTTTGACTAGTGGTTCTTGAAGCACTGGTTATGCTGGGAAGCTTCTGGCTTGTCAGCAGAGTGATTTCTGAAGATATGCAAACAGTGCATTTGCTGCAGGATTGAAGTTAGGTGCAAAGACCCAAGTAAACTTTTTAGTGTAGGTAAGGAAGAGTGCAAGTGTGAGAAGGCTGAGGGCACTGCAGGAGAAGGTGCAGGTGACAACAGCTAGTGAAGAGCTGTCTGGCTGGAGGCTCCGCTACCCACACCCTCGCACAAGGCATTTCACAGAGAATTCCCCAACCGTTATCTTTGGTTTTGCCCAATATTCACTGCTTCCTTCCGATCCTGTGTATCATCACAATAGCTGCAAACAGGTACATGTATATAACATGTAGGAAATTCCACCTCTGCAGAATGAAGGCAGAAAGAACTAGGTGGAATAACCCACCAACTCGCCTTTCTTGGGTTTTCCAGGTTCAAACCAGATACTTCATGACCCATGCAAAGGAAACTTCAGACAGAACATTTACATTCTGTTAATGTCTAGCCATCTGTCTGCTACAAAACAATTACATATAAAATGATTAATATTTAAACCCTAGTTTATTTTTTCTGCATGCAAGTTTATGCTTCAGAGAAGTGTATAGTTTTAACGGCACAGAATTGGAAAAAAAAATTCAGTAAAATTCTGAACACAGTTTTGTTGTTCTTGAAATCTTTTGTCTCTAACATGGTTAGTGTGTTCATTCAACATCTATTTTTAATGGGAGTTCCTGCTAAGCCTTATGTGTATGTTTATTTTTAGAAACTCGGTGATTATAGATGTAACTGTGAGGAGTTATTTAAAAATACAAACTTGTGGAACATGCAGTACTTGTACATTTCAGAATAACTGTTAAATGCCTGAATTTTCTTTTTCTGTTTATTTGAATGTACATGTACTTTGGCTCTGTTCTTTTAACAGATTTGTTTTTCAAATATTTTTCAGTAGGTTGTCTTCTTTTAAAAGCTTGAATTTTTCTTTGCATTCTTTGCGGCAGTTTACCGGGCACTTCTATCAGATATGCACTTACAAGGGTGTCCACTGTGTTGAATTTTAACACTTTTGCTACGCAGGCCAGTTTCAACAGCTGCTCTTCAGCTTCTAGTAATGTGCTTTCAAAAGTGAACATGTTCTGATTCAGGTTAAGGATTGGCTTTTTTATGATCCACAGTGTCTTCTATGTTCTGTTGTTATAAACTTAATTTTATGGTGCCTTTGTCGCAGATGCAGGGTATCAAGTAAATTACTTTCTTTTTCTGGGCCCTCTGCTGTGCAAGAGAGAAATTTTTTTGGTAAGCTTTTACATTTGATCGCATTTCCACTGAACTTAGTGGCAAGAATTGGGTTCTTGACAAGTCCTTCCCATGTTGCAAAATAGCCAAGTAAAAAGATGATCTGTTAATTCCTTCTGCTGCATTACCGATATCATGTTATGCTGACCTTCCCTAACCCTGCAAAACTCAACTTGGATTCATGTCTGAGGGTAAACATTGGAGCATGACTCCCCGAAGGGTAGGCTGAACTGATGCCAAGGCACTCTGAGCAGAGTTGTGTTGTGGGGGTGACTTCCTCGGGCACACCAGGTCACACAGCCCAGAAGCAGAGGTGCTGAGCTGCCCATCACAGAGGACTGGTAGCACTGGGGTGCAACCCAGCCAGCTAGGGAGGCCTCCAACTGCTGCTTGTAGCTTCTCAGCTGTGATGGTCAGTGGGCAGTGGTATACTGGTGTGGCACCTGGGTGTCTTGCCTAGGGCATCACCTCCCTCCATTACAGCAGTGGGAGATGTTGGGCGGTGTGGAGGTGGAATGGTCTTTGCAGCCACTTTGAGAAACACTTCTCCTTGGAAATCATCCTGGGCTGGAAAGATTGTTGAGATCATGAATAGAAATCTAAGCATTGGAAGTAATAGCTTGTAAGAGCTCCAGCTTGTATATAGTATGCTGTTTATACAGTCTCTGGTGAAGAATAAAAATGTAACACGAGAACTAGCTCTATCTCTTGTTATTCCAGGTCGAACTTTCAGGAGAAGATGGAGGCATGCTGAAAACTTCAGAAAAGTGAGCCATGAGTCCTTCTGAAAGCTGAAAAGTAGTCCCCTGGTAGGGTCATGAACCTAAGACAAGTTTTTGTGTCTGTACTGATATTTGGGGTAGCTGGTCTACTCCTCTTCATGTATCTGCAAGCTTGGATTGAAGAACAACATACAGGTACAGTAGGTTTTCTCTCTTCTTGTTTGTTTTTTTTTCATTCATTATTTAAAAGGTGACTGTAAAGTTTGTTGTATACATGTGGACAGCTGGGGAGAGTCCCTCCGTTTGGTACTATTCAGAATGACATTGAAAACAGAACTGTTTTAATTGCTATACTTCATGTAAGCATTAAGAAATTACTTGAGTCACATGGAAAGATGCCCCCAGCTACCTAATCGTATTGTATCGGCTTCATTTGCAAAAGCAAGTGTTGCAAAAGCATATTGTGTATGCATGAAGCCAAACAAGTCCAGTTCAGAAATAATTCCGTATTATGATTTTTAGTGGGTTTTGTACATTATATTTTTTGTGGAAAAGCAGGTTTTTTGGGAATTACTGCTGTGTCCTGTAAGCAATAGTGGTCTTCTAAGCAACAGTGCTCATGTGGAATCATCCTGTCTCATTTTTTTTATTGCTTGTTTGAGACAGTTAGGTACTGGATTTACAAGACTTTTTATATATATATATAGTGTCAGAGTCATATTGCAACTTTGGGTAAATCTGTGTTTTGGCTCAGGGTTACACTTGAGTTGAATTTCTGGTCACCATTTGTCATGTTTTGGTTTGTGCCACAGGTCGATCTAAATCCTTTATGGATGAAACTAAACCAGGCTGTTTATCTCATCCTCTAGTGGATGCCCAGTTCACAGGACCAGTGTAGAGTTAGTCTGAAGTAATTCCCCTGAAATGTGTGTAGGGTGGATATCAGCAAGGTCCTTAACACCCACTGCTTTGCTACGCACATCCACTTCTGTTGTACCATGTTACTTGATGGCATATCCTTGATTTTAGCTGTATACTTGTTTTGGTGGTTTAGGGGTTTGGTGTTGGTTGGTTGGTTGGTTGATTTTTAGGGTTTTTTTTCCACCTTAACAATATGGAATGTTCCCAACTTCTTGAGAAGTCCTGACTTTTATGTCCCCTTGTCTCTATTGTTAAGCTTCCATTTCCTCTGTAAAATTCTTACTTTATAGTATGCTGACACCATTTTGAAAAACCACATTAGTTTTCTTGCTTTATTGATCTCTGCTTTTATTCTGTATGAGCTGCTAGGCTCTGGTATGTTTTAGAGAGCAGTAGTGAGGGGGGAATCTAGTGCATTATTCCTGCAATTGTTTGACAGTGACCTTGAGTTTGGTTTTTGTTTTGTTTTTTAAATAAGTGCAGTGATCTCAACATTAATTTCAGCTTGTTAATGTTTCTAGGTTGGTCCAAAGTACTTACAAGCTTGTATTAACAAAACTGTTAAGAAGAGGTAGTACAGGCTCCCTTGTAATCAGCTGTTGATACAAGGGTCTGGTACAGAGCTTGCTGCAGGGGGAAGTCTTCCTTGAAAATCTCTACTGTTGTCAGGAATGTTAAGGGCAGATATCCTTGCTTTCAAGGTAGTTCAGGAATGTAGATGATGACTGTAGATTATTGATTTATTTACTTGCTGACATTCTTCACATTCCTTGCATCTTTTCTTGTGCTGTAATGAACCTTTCTTTCTTTGCAGTGCTCCTTGTTGCCATTTCTCACTCTTTCCTCCACTTCTTTCTTTTGTCTGTATCTAGCTACCATTAAAATGAAACAGAAAAAAAATATAATAAAGGGCAAATTAGAACATACTGTGTTCTTTTGGGCAACCAGATGCTTGCTTTGGCATTTTCCTTGATGTATTGTCATAATCTTTTTTCAGGAGAGAGGCTTCTCTCCTTGAACACCAAAATTTTTTCCCTGTGAAAATGTAATAAAATGGAAACTATTGGAGAATAACAGAATGGTTAGTGATTTTAAAGTGTGACTGCAGTTTTGAGTGCCCTTTTATCTCACTGGACTGCTGTTGTGACAGAACTTCAGCAAGATTTGAAAACATGAATTTTGGCATTCTCTTCAGTCGCTAGGTCATGCACATCTGAAAGAGCATAGGGAAAATAATTTTTTGGTCTCTGCTCTTGCCTCTTCTTCCAATTTAACGTGTAGAAAGCCATTCTTTTTTATTTCAAACACCTGTATTTCCTCTAAACCTTCTGCAGCTCAGTTCTGTAACATTCTCCCCCTGTATGCTGCTTAAGAGTCAATATGAAATAAAACATTTGCACATTCACAATATACTTTAGTTATGGGCGTTTTGCACTCTTCTGCTGTTTTTTTCACATCACCATGTGTTGTGCACTGTGGGTTTTTTGGTGATCAGCTGTGTCTGAATAATCCCACACTGACAAGTATCTTTACTAGGATTTTATGAGCTCCTTTAATCGTATCACTAGTTTCACAGCTGTAAGACAGCTAGTTTTAATCTGCCAGTGGCTGAGCATGTGATTTGATGTTCTATTAAGAAATGGAAGTGTGCCTTGTGCTTCGCAACTGCCATGCTGTGAGACTGTAGAGACACGTGTTTGTTGTAGGCAGAACTGTTTTAACGGCCACAGTGCCCTGCTCAAGACCTACAACATTGATGTTAGCATTTGATTGCTGAAGGATGGTTAAGTTGGCTGTGTTTGACTTTGGGAAAGTATGTTTTGCACCAGTGAGGTGCTGCTGCTTACCTCCCCATTCCTCTGAATATCTGACTTGCAGCTTTTATAAATCACAACCCCTGGAAGAAATACTATGTTTTACTAGATGGTTGGTTGTAATGTTAATGCTTATTTCTTATGCTCCCCTAGCTGTGGTGCAGATGTTTCCCAATCAGATGTAGGTTTTGTGGGGAATTGGAAAATTTAAGGTAATACCCTGTTCCTTATTAGTATTTGTCTATATTAAAGGCAGACTAATTACTTCATACTGCCCATTCTCATTGCCACATTTTCTCCTTCTCACTGTTCATAACTTTTCACACTAGACCTAATGCCACTTTTCTTTCATAGTTTGACTTTTCTTTCTACTTGCTTTTTACACCTCTGAGATCTCAACTGTCATTTGATTCTCCCATTTGTCTTATTTTCCTCTAGACCTGATCTTCTCTAAGCATGTTTTTTTTCTGATTTACTTTTGCAAAATTACCTCATCCCTCAAATTTATCCAGAACAGGAACACCTTCACTAATCTTTCATCTTGTCAGTCTACTTCAGATGCACCCGCAGGCTCAGCAGCTGGATGTGTCTCTCAGCACAGCCATGTCTTCTGCTCCCTCCCACTGTGCTTGGACTCATCAGATTATTTCTCATCACATTTGTCATCCCTTTACCTTAAAAAAGAAAAAAACTTTCATTTAGAGATGTCTAAGAAACAGCTGCTAGCTACATGGTGGTCCTCTCTGATGGCTTTTCAGAGACATTAGCAGAGTGAGAGAACAGGGAAGTTTCTTGCTTTGGCTCTATGCATGGAGTGTATAAAGACAGGATGATATATCCTTACTTAGATGTAGTAGAGCCCCTCTGTTGGGTGTCTTCAGTTCACCTCAGTGGAGTAGTGGGGAACAGACTTGTCGAGAACAGTCAGACATGAATGTTGACACATGCAGATTTTATCTGACTGAAACCTCATTGACATCAACTTTGATAATGTAATTTATATGGAGAACTTCAAGATCTCCATATATAAATATATTCACATATATAAATTCATAAACATAAATGAAGCTTGATGTGAATTCAACTAAATCCTACAGCTTTACTTGACAGTTCTTGCATTCTTCAGTGAAAGCATCAAATATTGTGGCACTGATTAAAAAGCAATTACTGTTTATTACATGCTTAGTAATTTCCAGAACTGTTAATCTTATACAGGGGAAGAAAACTACTGGGTCTTCAAGAGTTCATACTGACTTTTATACCATGAATCACCTGAATTAGGGGATGTGAAGTGCAAAGGACACTTGCAGTTTAATCCTGCCATAATATGTTATAGATGTGAATTGGAGTTTTAAATTAGGGATTCTAATTTTGTACTTTAAAACTCTTTTTTTTTTGGGGGGGGGTGTTGATACAATTTAGTGTGACTGATTACTACAAAATAATCTGAGAATATCTTTGTGAATAGATCTGTGTGCTGGGCTTGTGTGCGGTTTTGTTATGTTTTGGTTTTGTTTTTTTCTCCTTTTAAAGTTGTAATTCTTCCTTTGTGAAGTATGCCTAGTAAATGCACAATTACGAAGGACTGCTTTGGTGTTTCATGGGCTGCAGTATAACCTCCAATTAATGTGAAGAAGGCTGCACTGCCTCTGTCCTCACATAGATTTCTGGTTCCTGAGGGTGAGAAAGATGCCTCTTCTTTCCCAGCAGCTTTGTATCTCATCTTAAGGACACTGGGGTTTTTCTGCATGCTTTCTCCTCGCTTTGTAGGGTACCAGTTTTGTAGTAGCCCGTGGGTGCCCAGGCATGCTTCTACGGTCTCTGTGCCTTCCTGCAGTTTTGTGCATCCTGAGTAGCTTCATCACACAGAGCTCGTCCCCGTTCCTCATGTCACAGCTCTTGTTTTTCTGAAGAACAGAATAAAATTTCAGATAAAATTCCATTTCAAGAAAAGTTTGAAATTCCATGAACTGGCATGAGCCTTCTCAATTTAGTCTCCTGTTGCTGTGGCCATCCATGCTGTATCCATACTATTTGGCATAAACAGGTGGGATTACAACACCCACTTGGATGAATTTGATAATCCAAGGGATTTTTGGGGTCCTTTTGTAATCTGGTGAGATACTTTGAGTCCATGGAGCATGTTTCTTCCTTGTCTTGACACTCCGTAGCAAATGAATGTGTGCATACACATGGTAATACTTAGTCTTTGCTGTTTGTGTGGATTGATTTTTATTTAAACCTTGCCTAAATGGAGCAATATTGATGTGATTTAAAGGACAGTTCATATGTAAGGGATTGCAAAGGCAACTGTTCACACACAAGTCATAGATTTCCCACACAGTCTTCAGTAAATACATTAAACTAATATATTTGTACAAACCAGGTTTGTAAAGAAAGGAGAAAAGGACACTGCTCAATAATGGTTATTAATAATGAATAATTTATTTCTTTTAGTAA